TGCCCATCTCTATTGATATGGGGAATAATAAGAGTGAAAATAAATAAATAATAAAAACAGAAGTTCTGACTTCCTTGAGTCAACATGAATGTTCTAAAATTTCTAAGACTAGAAATTAGCAATTATTTTTTGCCAGAGTATAGTCTTATGTCCTCAATTCTAAAAAATAAACATTTGAATAGTTTAGAGGTGGCATTCTGGAATCAAAATTAAGTTCATATCCTCTTTCTCTTACTAGCTATGACCAGCTATTGAAATCTTACTAGCTGAGTGAGATTTTATATATGGCAGAATCTTTTCTACTGAGAGGATTCTGTACATGATCTCATATGACAAAGACAAAGACTCTCAAGATGGATCAGCTGTTTCACCCCCATTTCCCTTCCCTCTTGCTGATATCTCACATTGGATACTATTGCCATCTTCACACTGACCCCCAGCTTTGACCCAAGGAAGAACAAATCTCTCCTCCCCCATTCTCATTAGCACACAAAGTATATTTTTAAATGACTAAAGAACACACAAAGAAAATACAAAGATTATAAAAATTGGGCCTACAGATTGCATGTTCTTGCCTTAACTTGGTCACCTCTGCTCCATTCCACATAATGTCTCATGGAAAAAGGGACAGATAATGACAACACAGAAACCTCATCTCCTTGTGTAAAGCCACATCTTGCATCCTCCACAAGTTACCTTGATGCCTTTGTGATCAAGGTCAAAGCAAGAAAGATTCTAACTTTTCTTTATGGCCACCCACTCAGTCCTGCTTTTGTATCTAAGAAGCAAGACTTCTTCACCAATTAAAAACAAGATGTTGGCAACTGATGCTTCAAATAAAATCTTAGATATGAGAAGTGGTCTTATTCTTAAAAAGCTAACAGAATAAAATGTTTCAACTATAAACTACAGCATGTACACAAAATGGATGAGGGATGACATGGATTCATGATGGGGAAGATGAGAAATATTCCACCGTGGACCCACCTGAGGCTCTAAGTCCATGACACAGATCTTTCCTTCATCAAGGACTGCTTGAACAGCATCCACACTAGTGCCATACAGGTGGCCTTTGTACTCACCATGCTCCAGCATCCTGCAAGCGTGGGACAAAGAAAACAACTCTTTCTACAGGTAAAATAGTAGTAGTAACCTGAGAATAAACTCCAATAGAATTGAATAAAAATATGTGGGCCGGGCGCGGTGGCTCACGCCTGTAATCCTAGCACTCTGGGAGGCCAAGGCGGG